GTGCCGTCATACACTAGTACGTAAAAAAAACAAACCTGTCACCCGTGTGGACAGAAAAAAATACGACCGCTCTTGTTTTTTTAACACGATGACATGTTGTTTCGATTTGCGGAGATCAAGTGCGCACTTTTTTTTGTGAACATAGATCTACTGAGTGTACAGAAAAATTCAAGGGAGTGATTTAATCTAAAAATCTTTTCATAAGATACATTTTCAGAAAATTCAGGTAAGATACGGCGAGTAGCGCCTGTTTATATAAGCTGGCATTTAAAGAAATAGTTCTCTTTACTGTAAAGAAATAATGTCATGAATTTAGCTTAGTAGGAGTTTTACGGCGCTCGCAACTGCATAAATAAGGTCATATGAGCGCGCAACAATCTTATGGTTGCTCCCGAGGAAGCCCACGAGGCAAAACGTTGAGCTGTGTCTATAACTAGATCTAGATCTATGTGTTGAAGTTTATAAATATTCTGAATATTGTCCATACCATGCAACAAGGATGATGGTGATTGTGACAATTGTTTTTGTTATTATTATTATTATTATTATTATTATTATTATTATTATTATTATTGTTGTTGTTGTAATGATTATTAATTTTTTTAAAGTATTGTTGTTGTTATTATTCAAAATGATTTTAAGTATATCATTTTATTACATGCATTATTACATTTTCATTAGATTACTTGTCTTGTCTCTGAGGGGTGGGGTAGGGAGGGGAGGGGAGGTTGGGGGGTCTTTATCTCTTCCTTTGTTTCTGTCTCTGCAATAATGTTTTGCCACTTTTATACGTGTACCACCCCACCAGGGCAGTTCTACTGACTGAAGTGTCTTTAGGCCATTCCCAAAGGGGGGACATTTAACATGTTGTTATGCACAGTAGAATTGTAAATAGCTGATTCATCAATGTCATGCTCATAACTGTGCCTGGACTGCAACAGGGAACTGCTGCCTTTTCCTTTCTAATCCTTACTATCGTCATTTTCCTCTACTTCTTTTGTATGTTTGTCACACTCTTGTGACCCGCTATTTCCAGGGTGCCTTGATAGTCGAAGCAGACTTTGTGCTGTTGAAGCTAGAGAGGTGAGCAGAGTAGGCCTGATTCCTTGTAAGGACTTCTCTGTTGACATCCACCTCTTGGCGCTCATACGACCTTATGCAGTTGCGAGCGCCGTAAAACCTCTACTAACACAAACATATGTGTACTTATAAGATACCCTATCTACTAATCTCACAGTACCGTAACTTATAGACTTTTCACTTTTCTGACTTGTTACACCATGTCACCGAATACGAGCAGGTGGCAGCTCAGTCCGACGTTGTGCTGTTCCCGAGGTTTTATGCGCCCCGAATAATTTTGCAAAATTTGATCATTTTTTGCTTAATTTCTGATTATTTTCCTTTATCATTCTTTGTTGAAATTAACAGAATCGCATAATTTCACATTTTTGGGCTCAGTTTGCATAATTTCAGAATTGTTCCTGCGTAAAACGACGGGGACAGGTTGTGTCCTTGGGAAAGGCACTTTACCCGAATGTCCAACTTGGCTCGGTCCTTTCGGAGATGGACGTTGAACTCGAAGGTCCCGCCTCTTAACTAATAGTGTTGATAGGGGCGTTAAACCCATACCATATCATTTCCAGCAGGTGGTTGGAGAGTGCCTCTAGTTGGTGTTTTTTCTTTTCGTTTCTCTCTGTTTCTTCTGCGTTTTTTCTAGTGTTCCTTTATTTCCCAGCGGTTTAAGCCTGTGACTGTATTGATGCCCTTTCTTTCTGCTACTCCTTGACTCCTGCTTATTGCCGTCTTTCAGCCACACCCCTGATCTTCTGGTAGGAAATATCTACACCTAGCCTTCTCGGACAAGGGCGAAAAATCTCGGAGGTTCCGTATGCAAGTTGCGCACGTTAAAGATCCCTTGGTGGTCCAAATCGATAAAAGTCGACTTCGGCCGCCACCCGGACAAAATTCACAATTTCCTACCAATTGAAAATGTTAAGTTTGTCGCGCGCGCTCACATGACCTTATGCAGTTGCGAGCACCGTAAAACACTTGCCAAAGAACAAAAATGATGCCTTCTCCTGGACAAGACACCGCCTTATCCAGGGCTGTCATTTGGCCTTTCCCCCCATTTTTCCCTTTAAAAAATATATTGTGCATCTACTTGTATGGGACGCCATATACTGGAGATCTTACAACCCCTTTCATTCATCTCTCTCTCTCTCTCTCTCTCTCTCTCTCTCTCTCTCTCTCTCTCTCTCTCTCTCTCTCTCTCTCTCTCTCTCTCTCTCTCAACAAAAATGCGCTTTGCATTTTTCTTGCACTAAATGACCGTTATCGTGTCGATGTTAACTACTCTGCTCAAAAAGATTTTTTTTTATACTCGAAGAAGTGCTATTCCACAGCAACTTTCTACAGTTTTATTAGTCAGCTGGGGATTTTATCGCGTTTGAGGACACGTTTGTCGTCAATAAATCAATACCGAGTGTCATCAAGTATGAAGTGGACCCGTCCTCCGTAAATAAGCTGCTTAAGTTTGTCGACTGATGGACAAACGGTGGGCTCCTGGTACCGATGACGTAATGGGGCTTTACAGTGTGTGTGTGTGTGTGTGTGTGAGAGAGAGAGAGAGAGAGAGAGTATTTATGTGTGTGTGTGTGTGTGTGTGTGTGTGTGTGTGTGTGT